CAGCTCTCGATCTAGGGTGCCCGAAAAAAAAAATGATTTTGAATAGTTTTACGATGTTTTGAAGATTTTACATTTCCATGTTTTTCATTTCAGCAGGGGTTCAGAGTGATAACCAAGACTGGGCAATCAGGAACTTGACCCAAGGCACACAATTTAGAGGGTCCTTTGGCAGTGCAGAAATAGCAGGGCTTAGCACTCTGTCCACAAGAATAATTAGTTTAAAAATTGGAAGCTCCCAGGAATCAGTCTAGAATGAGTCTCTCTCCGCCCCAATCCTTACCTACTGGCCGTGTGCAGCCTCCCTAGCAAGGGACCCTGATTGAGGAGGGAGTGCTTGCTCTCTGTCTCCCTCTAATCAGGCAATGTACCACCCCCACCCCACCACCCATCTGCTCTAGTACTGTTTGGGATGCTTGACCTGGGCACAAGAAATCCTAGTTATGATTCTAAGTATGGAGAGGAGACTGGTCCTTCCCTCCACAAGCCTCCCCTCCCCCAATGCTTGGTACACAAAGCCCGCTCTCTGAAACTGACATTCTGTATGATATTGAAAAACATAGATTCCTCAAGAGATGCTATTCAGGCCCTCCACAGCATGGAGAAGCGTACAATCCACAATCCCCATTCAGTCTCGATAGAGCTGCACATCTGGGTGTTCCATAGTCCTTTGTGGGGGCCCCATCTCGAGAATCAATAGCAGCACTGATTCTGCCTCTCCTGACGGCCGTGCAGTGGCTCTGCTGTACTACCCAGCATGTGAGGTAATGGGCATGAATGTCCTGCCAAACATTTAAGGAGTTACGGTCCACATTGCATACATTGTATAGAAAGACAATATGCAACCCAGATTTAAAAAAAAATAAATACAGCGTGAGATAAAACCCAACTCTGTTCTTTTGTGCTCCCCTCCTCCCACCCACTAATTCAGCACAAATGTAGAGATTGTGCTCTTCAAGTACACAATCTTCTTTCTCTAACACTAGCATACCTCCAGTAAAAGATTAATTGGACACATTTTGTCAAATCAGCCTCCCCTACATTTTCCAGAAAACCATGAGCTACATTGGACCATTTTCAAACCAATGATCCCCAGCCCACAGTCTACTCACAGGAAGTCAGAGGAAAAAAGCAAAAACTCAGAGTACATCTCAAGGCCATCCTGCCTTTTCATAATTACCATGATGAAGAGGGTGAGGCCGGTGTTATCTCAAAACCAGAGAAGCAGTGATTCATGGGCATAGAATGAACCTAAACATTGGAAAAGAACCAGAGGGCTTATCCAGCCCAGCTCTTTCATTTTACAGACAAGGAAACTGAGGGCCAGCCAGAGACTATGACTTGTCCAAGGTCATCTAACAAGTTAATAGTAACACGGGGGCTTGTCCCCAATTCTCCTGGCCACCCCATCCGGTCTTCTTTCTCCTGCGTTCTTCTCCTCTTATTCTCTTTGATAATATACTCTATAAGGGCAGCTAGGTGGTGCAGTGGATAGAGCACCGGCCCTGAAGTCAGGAGGACCCGAATTCAAATCTGGCCTCAGACCAAACACTTGACACTTACTAGCTGTGTGACCCTGGACAAGTCACTTAACCCCAATTGCCTAAAAAAAAAAAAAAAAAGATAATATACTCTATAACCCTAGCATTCAGATACACAAACTTTGGTTCCCCCATTTCGTGGATGAAAATGTATCCAAATTTGGGTTACCTACCTTCAAGCACCTGGGGCCAGGTATTTGTTTCTTCTCTCAACATCACTGATACTTCCCATCCCAGCCCCAGAGTTAACTATTCTATATATATATACATACATACATATATGTGGATTGTGTATATACGTATGTAGGTATAGATATAGATACAGATATAGAGAAAGATTTAGATAATATAGATGATACAGATAAAACTTTGACTGCCAGCTAGGGAAAAGAAGGGACATCAACAGTATGGAGTCACTTAGGATGCATTCAAACTCAAGCTGTTAGTTGGATATGGAGAATGGCAATTTCTGGAACAGCCTAGAGATTATCTTGAAATGTATCGACCCTTGCTACTGGACTTACTGGCCGTTCCTTGGGAGTAGGGCTGTCTACCCTCTAATTTCTCTTTGGGACCCCAACATTTCTCACAATGCCTCAATGACACAGACAATTAACAAAAGTATAATTAATTGGCCAGTAGGAATAAAGGTACCTGAAAACAATTTGGATGTTACAGAGCCTTTAGTGGGACCCCCATCTCATGAATCGATTCCTATTTGTTCTCGACTTTGAGTCTTCTTTCTCTATTCAATAAACTCCAAAATCAAAAGACTACCTCAAAAATCAAAGACAATCCCATTTGGTTTTTAAAGCCCTTTATAACCTGGCCCCTTCCCACTTCTCCAGTTTTCTCATACTTTCCTCCAGTGTATCGACACCGTCATTCTTCAAACATGACACTCCCATTGCTTGACTCTAGGCATTTTCAACGGCTATCCCCCTTAAATTGTCTCCTTCTTCCTCTCTACCTCCTGACTTCCCCGGTTTCCTTCAAGTATCAGCTAAAATCCTTCCTTTTACATAAAGCCTTTCCCCATTCCCCTTTATGCTAATACCTTCCTCCCTGAGATTATCCCAATATAGCCTATATAGTTGTTAGCATGTTCTCTCTCCCCATTCAACTGAGCTCCTTGAGAGCAAGAACTACTGCTGCCTTTCTTTGTATCCCCAGCACAGTAACTGGCACATAGTAGCCCCTTAATAAATGCTTAATGACTTGACCTAACTGGACTCTATTCAATTACTTACCCACTTCTAGAATCAAATTTCATAGATTTTTGTATTTCTTTTTTCAGTGGTGGGAGGGTGATTGGGGAGAAAAAATTTTGATAATTGAAAAAAATTATAACATAATAAAATATAATAAAATGAACTACATTATTGTTGACTAAACAGTTTTTCATGCATTTTGGGGGGGGGGGTGGTTAGGAGAAAGCTATATCCAGACATCTCCAGAAATAATTGTGTGGTTTATGTCCTAATTGTAACTGCAACAATGCTAAATATATGTACTGACCAACAGGAAAGCTATCTAGTCTGCACAAATTATTTTATAAATGTTTTACTGGAGGGAAATTAAGCATCATTGATCAGATCCCAAAGCCACTGGAGTATTCAACTGGGGGCCATCATTTTCCTGATGGGTGCAAACTTTCAAACCAGCCCCATGGCAAATCAAATGTTTATGCATTCCCTGATGACTGGAACAGATGTTCCCAAACAGGAAATGTTTGGCAGCTGTTGGATCACCAGTGTTTCTGAAATTCACATTTGATTTGAAGGGGAAAAGAAAGCAAACAAAGCTGAGGTAGACTATGTTTTCTCAGAGCAGACCCATATCTATAGATACATCACAGAAAAAAATTAAAAATTAACAACGAAATATTTCCATTACCCAACATTTACTGCGACCCATAGGATTATGACTAGAAATCAGCCTCCTATTTAGAAGCTACAATTCCTTTAAATTCCCAAAGCCTGGCTTTAGCTTGGGTTTAAACCTTGGCTTATCCTTTTAACCATTCTTTGAACAAGAGGAGTTTTTGATAAATAATTCTATTCATAGCCCAGTCACCACAGTACACATTCAAGCATGGCAGTTTGGTGGGCAGATATCACTGAACCCAGGAAAGACGGCTAACACTCAGGTCTTGATTCTAGGGTGAGCAATCAGAAGACAGTGGGCTCCCCTTTGATGGAGGTTTTCAATGAAAGGCTGAATGACCACTTGTGGGTACATTGAGGGAAGAGATGGCGGAAGGGTGATTGTTCAAGTACAAGTTGGACTTAGTGACCTACAAGACCCATTCCAACTCACATTCTGTTGACTTGGTGGGTGGAAAAGGAGGATTTTTTTTATCCACTTCTTCTTAGATTGGGAATCAGAGGACTTGAGTTCAAATCCCAGCTCCTTAACCTATATGACCTCGGACAAGTTACTTAACCCCTCTGACCTCAGTTTCCTTATATATAAATTTAGGGAGTTGAGCCTGAGATCTTTTCCAGCTCTAGTGTCATAATCATAGAAACCAAGCAGAATCAGCCCTTCCTGAAACACAAAGGGATATCCCTTTGAACACTAGTAAATGTGGATGAAATCTAAAGTTAAAAATAAGCTATACCTCTGCAATACAGAAGACTGAAGGCCAGTTTTGCAGTCTGTTATTTATTTTTACAGTACTTTACTTAAGATACAAAACGCATCAGTACTTGGAGAGATGGGTGTCTGTCTCTCTCTAGCTGGCACACCACGGCTCAGCACAGGAGGAGACTTACAGACACCCCAGTACAGCACGTGTTCAATAATGCCACGTCAAGCTGGTTGTCAGAATGGACACGAGGGCAGGAAAGGGGAAAAGTGGTGGTGGTGTTTTTTAATGGTTAAATGGAAACATGAAATGATGAGTTTAAGAACTACTCTGTACCCAGAAGAAAAAAAAAATCAGAAGCTGCTTTGTGGAATATCATTTCAAACTAGGCATGGATGACGACTATGTGGTTAGAGACTGATCGGTTCATTTCCTTCATACTAATGAATTGAGAATTTCAGGAAAATCATGATTGCAAAAAGGAGCATGAAAAAGAAAAAGCTAAGTACAGATAAATGTGAGACCCCAAATTTTAAAAAAGAGGAAAAAATAATCACCCCCAACCCCTCCCTCCCACTCTGAATTTACAAAAACAACTTTCTCAGGAACAGAAAGTTCCAATATTTCCTCTCCCTCCCTTCCCCAAGCCCATGGGCCCCATTCTTTCTATTTGTTACAATGATGTGACCTTACAGCTTGAAGGGAGTGATGGACCAGGGAGGCATCTCCAGGCATTGTCATTTGAAACAGCTTAAAAGTGTCTTTTTTTTTCCCTCCCAACTCAGAAATGTTGGATAAGATAGAAGGAAAAATAAAAAATACCTACAAAAGCGAAATAAGATACCCAAAGCAAAAAATAAAATAAACAGAGGTGTGGCCCAAGGTTCTTTAATATGAATTTTTGGGAGTGCTTGGACTGGGCAGAACCATGGGCGACATGTAGGGGGGTACAACCGAGGGAGAGATTTCTCGTAAGGCAGCAGGTGGGCAAATCAGGCTACGAAACATTGAAGAGGAGGCTTTTCTAGACCTTCGGCGTCAGAGCTTGGCAGGGGAGTTCTTGCACAACCCTCTGTCACAAGCAAACCCTAGGCACGTCGGGCCATCAGCTGGCACACCTCAGTGGCCAGCCCGGGGAAGTCCAGATGCTCCCTTATACGTGGGCGCTCTTGGCGTGAGTGGGGGAGCTGGAACCTGAAGAATAGTAGAAGCGGTTCTCGCCAAATGACTGAGCATCTCCCGAGCAGCACAAGACGACGCAGCCACCAATGAGGCAGAGGGTGGCCCCGATCCAGCCCGTGTAGAGGGAGTAGCCAAAGCTCATGATCATGGTCTCACGGTGGGCGCACACAGGGAACCAGATGGTGGCCACCAAGGCACACAGGGCTGGGGAAACACAAAGAAAGCAGTGACCATGGAGCATTTGTCACAGACGGGCTCATCAGCGCCACCTACCAGGTGGTGTGGGGCAGTGGAAAGGACTGAGGACCTGGTTCAAATTCTGACAGCTTGGCCACTCAGGGCCCGTGTGAGCTGGGGTAAGCGCTTTGAGGGGATGGCCACAGATAGCCACCCCAAAGATCTCGTCTATCTCTGAAGCTGCATCCTAGGAGCGCAGAGCAGAGGTCGGGCCTCTACAAAGTCTATAGCAACGTTTAGCAGTAGACAACACTGATGAAGAACGTTTGTCAAAAAAGCACAAGGGCTTTGCCAACACACACACACACACACACACACACACACACACACACACTAAAATGGAAAGCTAAACTATTTTCTAGACAAGTCATGAGAAAGAAAGAAGAAAGGAAATAAGGAAGGTGAGAGAGAGAAAAAGAAAGAAAGAAAGAAAGAAAGAAAGAAAGAAAGAAAGAAAGAAAGAAAGAAAGAAAGAAAGAAAGAAAGAAAGAAAGAAAGAAAGAAAGAAAGAAAGAAAGAAAAACAGAAGGAAGGAAGGAAAGAAGGGGCAAGAAAGGCACTGGTCTAAGCTATCCAAATAGGAAAGGCCAAAGTCCACCTGGCCCAATTTTCCACTCCCTTTATTCATATGTAGTAAATCACATTACGTTAAAACGGTCCAGATTTGTTGTTTTTGTTGTTGTTGTTGTGCAACTCTGTTGTAAGGAGCATTGCTTACAATAAATAAGCTACTACCAATTGGGGCTTTGAAATTCTTCTGTAGTCACTATTTATTCTAGAAAACACCTCAAAAATGTGAATAATCACTGAATATAATTATAGAATGTTAAAGGTGTCATCCAATCCAGGCACCTCATTTCACAGGTAAAGAAACTGAGGTCCAGAAAAGTTGACCTGTTCAAGTTCACATAATCAGAAAGTAGAGGAGGGGAGGCTAGGGCAGGTAGGTGGTTTAGTGGTGAGACCACTGGGCTTGGAATCAGGAAAACATCTTCATGAGTTCAAATCCAGCCTGAGATATTTACTAGCTATATGACCCTGGGCAAGTCACTTACCCTTGTTTGCCTCAGTTTCCTCATCTGTAAAATGAGCTGAAGAAGGCAATGGCAAACCACTCCAATGTCTTTGCCAAGAAAACCCCAAATGAGATCATGAAGAGTCAGACAGGATGGAACAAGAAGAGGTAGGGGTAGAACCTAGGTACTCAGGCTCTGAGGCCAGTATGCTTTCTGCTCCCTACCATACCACCCTTTGAAGCAAAGGGAGCTGACGAAAAATGTTATTTTGATATAATGAGATTTAACCTGTAGGACACAGGAATTTTGCAATGTGTAACCCATGCTTAACTCTTGTTTAGATTACATAGGAGAAAAGGATTGTAAATAGCCTCCAAAGACATTCCTGCTGATAAGTAGAATTGTCATTAAACCATGTAGCTGAATACCTAGCCTTATTTCTTCCCCTTTCTAGGTATTCTGGGTAAGAGCTTGCAATGCCCCAACTTCCTTCTTGACCTCTAGAGTGAAAGCACCTTTTGACATAGAATTCTTGAGCATTGGATCATTGCTCCTATATCTTGAGGTCCCTTACACATACTGTCCCTAATGGGAAGTTGATGGCAATACTGACAAGATGGCATGAGGTAAAGGGCACAGACTTCTGTCTCAAATGAGAAAACTCTGAATTCAGTTCAAGAAATATTGATTAAGCACCTACTATGTGCCAGGCACTCTGGATATAAAGACAAAAATGAAACAGTCCCTGCCTTCAAAGAGCTTCCATTCTATTAGGAGATACAACATACACAAATTACACAATTACAAAATTACACAAAAATTACACAAAATAATTTCCATAGGAAGAGGGCCCCAATAATTGGTTGGAACTAAGAAGGTGGGTCAAGAAAGACCTTGGTTTGAAGGCAGCAATGTCAGCTGTGTTTTAAAGGATGCCAAGAATTCTAAGGGGGCAAGGTAAGGGGTGTCATACTATTTGAAAATAGTCAAGGGATATGTAAAAGTAGGGTGGGAATATCTTTACAATACTATTAATGCACCTCCATCCTCCATCTCCAGCAGACATGACTACACCTTTGGACTGATATATTTCTCTTAAAGCATGATCTCCTTAAGAATGGGGACATCTTTCTTTGTTTCTTTCTTTGTTTCTCTAGCACTTAGTACAGTACCTGGCACATAGTAGGTACTTAATAAATATTTATTGGTTGATATCTATAGAGCCTTTCTGAGTTACTGTGGTGGTCCACTTCCAGCCTATGTCTGCAGAGGAGAAATAGCAATGCTTTCCTTCACCACGGGCACTTAAATTAAATTGGAACATTTTTTCTATGTCTCTCCTAAATTTGAGGAAAGATTCAGCCTTTTCTCACCTAGGGAGAGCCTTTCAATCCATTTTACCACATGTTGGTAATAAGTAAAATATAGGCTTTTGTATGACATGTGCTGTTTCCACAATATATTAGCTGTTTGACACAAAAATAGCAAGATGTGCTTCTAACAATGAGGACTAAACTAAGAAATTCCATGTAACTGTTAGAACAAAGGGGGTCGAGTTGGGTGAGGATCCCCCAGCTTCTCTGTCCATGCAACCCAAACTTCCCATAAGATGGTCGAGCAATAGAATGTATGCTCCTCGAGGGCAAGGATAGTTTTCATTTATGCTTGTCTCTCCATTGTCTGCTCTTCTACCTCATCATGGCATGGAGGTGACCCTGAATTCTGGAAGATTGGGCCCATGATGGATCCTCCAAGTTAGAAAGACTTGTAGTATAAACTTCATCTATAGACTTCAGGCCCTTTGTCTGAGAACCAACCTAGATGAGATCTAAGGGGTTGGCCAAAGCAACTCCCAAAGATCATCTACTCAGTCACAGAGGGACTGAGACCTGCATTGGTATAGGGACTCCCTACACCAACCAAATCACAGAGCCTTAAAGGATCCCAAGCACAGTGTCTTACACATAGTAGGTACTTAATAAACAATGGTTGGCTTAAGCCATTTACATCACTTGGGGCTGTGTAGAAATGGGCAAAAGTTAGATCTAGAACTGGAAGGGCCCTCATCCAAAGCCTTCATTTCACAGATAAGGAAACTGAGGCCCACAGCCATTAAGTGACTTGCCCAAAGTCACGTGAGTAATAAGTAGAAGAGCTAAGATGTACTGAGTCAACAATCCATTGCCCTGGTTCTCAGGGTGAGAACCAGCTCAGTATTTGAAGATTGCTCAGACAAGATCAGGCTTAATTTAGCTAACAAACATGAGATTGGGAAAATGCCTAGACAGGCATTGATATAATGGAACTTTCCATAATTAAAGATATAGACGAATGGATATTTGTGTGTACATATTTACAGGTCCATATCTACACAGTGCATAGAGGATTGGCCATCTAGTCAGGGAGCCCTGACCCCAAATCTTGTCTTTTGTCCTGTGCAAGTCTCCATGTGCTCCCAGCAACTGTTGAGACTATAGATTTAAAGGGAAATGCCCATCTCCAATAGGAGAGATAGTTTCCACAGTAAGGATTTTCTACCTATACCCGTGTAATTCCAGACTCCTCCCCTCCAAAAATAATAATAATATGTACACATGCATGTGGTAGCTCTTTTCCTTCCAACCCCACCCCACTAGGAGATGGAGCTGAGTAGAGTGGAAAGAACATAGCTTTAGATTCATAGAATTATAGGGCTAGAGTTAAAAGAGACCTCAAACGCCATCTAATCCACCCTCTCACTCTGCAGATAAGGAAACTGAGACCCAGTGAGGTAAATGACTTGTCTACAGTCACTTGGGTCCTAAAGATCAGAGATGGGATTTGAACCCAGGTCTTATGACCATAGAGCTCTTCCTATTGTACCACAATGACATCCATCTGATATGACCTTTCACTTCTATGGGCCTCAGTTTTCTCACAAAATAAGAAGGTTAGACAAGATTACCCCTCAGCTCTAAGACTATGATCCTATGATCCCTTTTCCACCCTATCTTCTCTGGAAGATGGCTTCCAAAAATGACCATCTCATTTTGGGATAGTGGCAAGAGCAGTAGCCCTGGAGTCAGAGGGCCTGGGTTCAAATTCTGCCTCTGATGCTCATCACCTGTGTGGTCTTGGGCAAGACACTTAATTTCTCTGGGCCTCAGTTTCCTCAACTGTAAATTGGGTGAGTGGACTAGTTGACCTCTCAAGTAGCCAACAGTTCTAAATCAATGACCCTATGAACACACTTGATGGTTCCCAGACATTCTATTCTTCCAGGCTCCTAATCCACATATTTTTAATGTGAGATAGCAGCCAAATGCCAGAAATGTCCTGATTTCCTAGCAGATATACTAGCCTTGAATGGGATTCCTGTGGCTTTCACAAAATCACCACATCAAAACCAATGGAAAATGACACACTGACTTCCATGCCACAAGAAGAGAAATGAGAGGGTCATTTGAGATGCTGGCCTTCAATTGCCCTTAGGATAAAGAATGTTTGAGGAAGAGACTGAAAACAAAGGAAAATTTCCTCAGTTACAGAAATGGCTTTGGAGGAGGGAGGGATACATTTTGACCGGTAAAACCAAAACACAAGCCAAGCCACTATTGACCAAAAGCCATTAAGAGCAGCAGCTCCCATTTCTAGCATTTTTTCCTTCAACAACCTTGTGAGCAAGTCATACAAGTTTAACTTGTCACTGTTTTCCAGTCAAGGAAACTGAGGTTTAGAGAGGTTAAGTAATTTATCCATGGGTATACGTTCAAGTAAGTGTCAGAACAGAGATTTAAATGCATAGCTCCCCAGCCTCCAAATCCAAGACTCTTTCCACCATGCTTCCTCTGCTACTAACAAAATTGCCTACGAGGGGACCCATGGATGATTAAAAGACCTAGGAGGGAGACCACCAAGCACACTGGGTACATCATCTGCTGAAAATTCGTAGATGATGTGAACATGAAAACC